TTCCCCATCCACAGGAAGGGTGGGGGGTTCATAGAGAACTGGAAATGTTCAAATGTTATCATGGGCCCAAACAATGTTGAGGTTGGAAGGTCTCCATAAGGGCAAAGAGCCATTTTTTTTGGGGGGGGGGAAGGGTGCCTCCTAAACATCCCAGCTGAAAACTATGTTCCAAGTACTGCTGTTATATTACGCACCCAGGAAGAGAGATTTTTCTGTTGTGGTAGGTGGGGCACTTGTGGAATACCATCTGTATGGAAGTGTTACAGTTGCCCACATGATTGATATAAGCTGTTTGCATATTTTCTTTTCTTTTTTTGCTATTAGTGGTGCTTTTAATGCCACTTTTCTAAAGTCTGCTTTGGATTCCCTTTTCTATTTATGATCAGAACTGCCAGCAATTTTCATGCAAGGAAATAGGTATTTTTATTATTATTTTTTTAAAAAAATGTGTCTTAGTTATTGGGAGCACTTTTAAAAAATGGTGACAAGCTTTGAATTGAATTGGTGAGAAAGTTGGTGAGAACTGCCGAGAAGGTAGATTGGGATCTACTGGTAGTAGAACTCTGTCTGATTTGCTGTGGATTGGCAAATGTTCAGATTCCTAACCAGCCAAAAAAAACAACAGTTAAGAAGCTTCTGTCTTCCTAAAATACATGCAGAAAAAGAATGATGGGGAGGGGGCAGGACTAGGAGTGTACTTTTAATGTAGAAGGATCTGGTTCTGGCACTGATCCAAATTCTCCGGCTGAGGGTAAGCTGAGAGAAATTCTGATAGGGAGAAAACAATAAACAAAACTCAAGGTTGTTGAGGGTCTCCAATTTGACCTCAGTGCTTGTACAGAAGGGATTGCAAGTCCCCACTCCCATACATATGTGTATCTTATTCAGAAAATATACATATTTTGCTGTAACATTTTCCAATTCCGTGTGTTTTCTTCAAGTGACTAAAGCACACTTGCATTCATTTTAAAAATGGCATTTGTTTTTAGAATGAACATTATTCCCATGTACTTTCCCCCCATTTTTCAAAAGTATTTTAGTTGTTTCCCAAACTGGGATGCAAGCTAGAAAAAGTACAGACTAGGAGCTATCGCTTGTATTCCTGTCCGTGTTTAGTTCCAGGAGGTGTGAACTGGATAGATTCTGATCATGTATGGTAAAAGGTAAAGGTAAAGGTTCCCCTTGACAATTTTTGTCAAGGGATTGCAAGTCCCCACTCCCATACATCTGTGTATCTTATTCAAAATATACATATTTTGCTGTAACATTTTTCCAATTCCATGTGTTTTCTTCTATTGACTAAAGCACACTTGCGTTCATTTTAAAAATGGCATTTGTTTTTAGAATGAACATTATTCCCATGTACTTTCCCCCCATTTTTCAAAAGTATTTTAGTTGTTTCCCAAACTGGGATGCAAGCTAGAAAAAGTACAGACTAGGAGCTATCGCTTGTATTCCTGTCCGTGTTTAGTTCCAGGAGGTGTGAACTGGATAGATTCTGATCATGTATGGTAAAAGGTAAAGGTAAAGGTTCCCCTTGACAATTTTTGTCCAGTTGTGTCCGACTCTAGGGGGAGGCGCTCATCCCGCTCTTCAAGCCATAGAGCCAGCGTTTGTCCGAAGACAATCTTTCCATGGTCACATGGCCAGTGAGATTTAGACACGGAACGCTGTTTACCTTCCCACCGAGATGGTACCTATTTATCTACTCGCATTTGCATGCTTTCGAACCGCTAGGTTGGCGGGAGCTGGGACAAGCAATGGGCGCTCACTCCGTCGCGTGGATTCGATCTTACGACTGCTTGGTCTTCTGACCCTGCAGCACAGGCTTCTGCGGTTTAGCCCACAGCGCCACCACGTCCCTAGTGATCATGTATGAAAGGAAAAGAATTTCTCACCCATCCGTGCACCATGTTTCTTAAGTCATTGTGTATTATCCACCCACCTGTGTCAGTATTTTGCACATTGGCTCTGGATAATGGACTTCATTGTTCTGATTAAAACCTTATGAGGTTCTGCAAGCCTGAAATCTTCCTGTCTCCATCTAACCCATTCATTGATTTATTATTCCACCACGTGACTTAGGCCAGGGACATCTTCAGGGCAGATATGGAGCATAAAAGAAACTGGGCTCCTTCTCTGTGTGGGAAATCGTACTGCTAGATAATATTGTTTGAGGCAGATTTAAAAGGAAATGTAGTGTCTCCAATGTTCTAATTAAAACTCCTCTACAGGCAGCAATACAAATATGAATAAACATGCACACACACACCCGTGCGCGCACACACACACACCTGCACACACACACACAGACACAGACACACAGACACATAGACACACACACACAGGGACTGGCTCATTCTAAATGCTAATTGTTACCGTGCCTATTGTGATCTGCAACAGCTCCTCCTCTCCTTCAGTGATGCTGTAATTAATTGAAGGGAATTAATTATCGTGTTGTGTTATTGCAGTAAATGCCAGTAATGGGGGCTATGTGGATAATGAATCATGCTAAATAGGATATTCTGCTTTATCTGCCACTAGCCCTCCCATTCTTCACCGCTCTACTGAAAGAAAGCTGTTCGAGAGGAGATTGTACAGGGCTGCTGGGAAGTGTGTTAAAGTGCTACAAAGCTTGTTTGAGGAGGTGATCAGTCCCCGTTTCTGCATTTTACTCCCACTGGATATATTATTTCTTTATAGTTGTTTCACCCACAGCATTTAAAGAGAAAAACAGAATCGCTCCACCTGCTGGCTGTTAAAGTAGTGGTACCTTTGTGTACTTCAATGCACTTCAGTATGTTCATTCCAAAACATTGCAACCCGAAGGTGATGCTATCAGGGTGCCTGGCCACACACCCACACACTATGTCCAGGCATTTCACCCGGTGCTTTCGCCAGCAGTGCCCTTACTCTTCTTACTTTTCCCTCAGAGGGAAAAGGGGATGGGACCTATTACTCTGGGTTAGCATTTTCAGGAGCTTTTTTCAGTCCAGGCAGAGAGACCCATGGATTTGCTCCTCTCCACTTCCCTACAGTTTCAGGATCTGGTTACTCTGGAATGCCTTTTAGTGACTTCACATGGATATCAGGGTGATAAGAGTTGACCCATTCCCATGGAAAGCAGCCCCCTCACCCTTCAGAGGACAAAATAGGCATTTCCAGTCATTACCTACTGGGACTGCTCTGACAAAAGGAATAAAACTAATAATGCCCATCCCCTATAAGACACTTCAGGAGGGTGCCACATAATGTCTAATGTTATCAAAAGGTTAAGGAGGATCAACTGGGAAGCATTTCTGTCACCTAGGCAAATATTACTTACAAGGGCAGCAAAAGAAGTCTAAATTTCATAACAAAGTTGGAAGCCATAATAAAGTGCTTTGCCTAAATTTTAAGGAATGACCCACTATGTTCTAGGTATAGACAGCTTTAGGAAGTCTCATCTGCTTGGGGTGGCTTTTGGTGAGACAAAGAAGTTCATATGCTTCAATTGTGGTACTTGTGTTCAGTGTTTCATCTATTCATGTCCGGATTTGAAAGGATGCTTTCTTTCTTTCTTTTTCTTTTTCTACTTGAAGTTCACTGACTCTGTGAAGAAAAAAATTACACTGACATTGCGAAGCTATTAAAGCCACTGTGGAACATTGAAGTTGGAGAGTAAGCAAAAACAGCTGTACAGGACCAACATTAACTTGTGGATTCAGCCCTTTGAAACTCAGAATGATTACCTCAGCACACTTTCCTTTTTGTAAAGGAACCACGTTCCTACTTTCGTCTAAGAAAATAAGGAAGCTTGTTTTGTTTTATTTTAAAGAGAAATACACTAAAGATAGGAACGGTGACAGAGTTGTTAGCTAACTAAGGGCCTGTCCAGACAAGGGAATTTGAAGTGGTCTGGTTCATCCTTGAAAGGTTCTTATTTTCAGTGCAATCTATTCTGTTTTCCTGTCCTTTCACACTGAAGATGTTTAGTCTCCTGTGAGAAGGGTCCACACAAGTCTTTTGATTGCTGGTTTCCTTATGTGTAAGTGTATCTGGTTTACTTACAAGTAAGTCTACCTGGTTTGTTTGCAAGTAAGGGGGCAATAGCAGAGGGCAACATTAGCAGGACAAACTTGTGGTGGTGGTAGTGAGAAGGGAGAAAAACATTGTGGGTAAGCCTGGAGAGTTGAAAGAAAGGGAAATGTCCCCCTTTCCTGCCTTTCTTCTCTGCTTATAGAATTGACATGGCTCCCTTCTGCATGTTCTCACAGCCATCATTCAACGAGTCACAGTGGCTTTCCTTTCCTTTTTTCTTTTTTTTTCTTTGTTAAATAAAGTAAGTGGCCTAACTAAAAAAGAGTGCATCCACCTAGTACTGTATTAGAATTGTGCTGTGTCCATTTGAGAAATAATAAGAAAGAAAGACTAAAATTAAGGAGTGGGTTTCCTTGTCTTTTCTTTTAGTATCACAATTGTGCTGTGTCCATTTGAGAAATAATAATAAGAAAGAAAGATTACAATTAAGGGGCAGGTTTCCTTGTCTTTTCTTTTAGTATCACGACCCACATTTTATATCACAGGGTTGTTGCCTCTGATAACACCACCCACAGTTCCATTTGGGTGCAAACTAACCATCCATGCAGGCTGCACAATGAGGTAATTAGAATTGTGCTAAATCATGCCCCCAAAATTACATGCATCAGTCCTGTGACAGAAAGGTGCACAATAGCTCTTAAATTTCAGGATGGATCAATCTAAGTGGAAACATGTATGGATGCTGCCAACAAGTTCGCACAATAGCTCTTAAATTTCAGGATGGATCGATCTAAGTGGAAACATGTATGGATGCCGCCAACAAGTTTGAACCAGACCATACCAACAGCGATCCATATATCATTATGTATGCCAGACCAAACCATACCAACAGCGATCCATATATCATTCTGTATGCCAATCTGGGCAGGTCCTAAGCTGGAGATATCCACAGCCATGATACCTGGCCCTTTTGTCTCTAGAAAATGAAACAAGATGTCTCCTCCTTGGACGGACAAGAGAAAAGTGTGAGAGGGAAGGAAGTGACATCAGCAGCCCTAAGAATAGTAACGTAGGCTAAAGAATCATCAGAGCATGCAAAGGACAATCTAGGAAGATCAGGTTCTTATCTTTCTCTCTACTCCTTCCCATGCAAAGAGATACAACTTCAGGAATGTAAACTAAGTTGTGTCTAGTCACTGCCAGTAGTTGGAACATGAATGTTGTAAATTAAGTAGAGGCTGTAACAGTGAACCTCTCAAAGGCTATGGGTTAATTTCTGCACTAACTGCCCCAACTGTGAAAGCAGTCATTTATGGTTTCATGAGCTCCTTGAAGGTATGAACCAAACAAGGCAAAAACAGTCCCCCTGCACCCTTTTAAAAGGCTGACTCGCTGCTCCTAGTGGCTTCCAGATAAATTGCAATTTGGGGAGACTTTGAAGGCTAGCACAACATTCTTGAGAATCTCGCATGGAGGGAAGACCCATGCTTCCCACCTATGCTTTGAACTGATGGCCGTAGCATTATTGAAGTAGACAGGGCAACAGCTTCAGACAGTAAAAGGCCACTTCATGTATACAGCTTTCCAGTTGTTTGTGTCCAGATCTTGACAGCACTCATATTTTGGTGGCTGGCAGTTTTGGAAGTCAGAAGATTCAATGCAAAAAAACCTTTCAAAGATGAAATTCCACAGCCAGATGCAGGCTAGCACAAAACTCTTTTGAAATGATAGCCCATTATGGCCCTTCCTACAAGGAACATACAGCTGAATGAGCAGCAGAAATGTTGATCTTGTGCTCTTTGAGGCAAGTGGCATTGACAAGTTCAGCACGGATATATTGATGAGGCAAACTGATGAAATGTGTCTGACTGTGAATGGGTGCATGCACGCTAAGAGTACAGACAAGGGTATGTACATAGTCTTTTGGTCTATCAATCAAGCACAAGCCATTAGCTCTCCAGTCACAGGAGAAAATGCAAAAAAATAAAATAAAAGTGGAGAGACAGATGGAGTAGCCTAAAGCAAAGGAGAATTTCAGCTCGGGGAAAAAACCACCTAGAGAGAAACGCAAAGCTAGCTTTTGTTACTTTTGTAGGAGACTCCAGTGAAAGTGAACAGAGGGCGCTGTGACATCTCCGATGCGGGTTTTCCTTTGTTTGGAGTGGGATTGACTGTCATGTTCCACTGCAGCGGTCTCATCTCTCATCAACTTTACCCTCCCCTTTCTGTTTTTCATTACTTTGCTATACTCATTAGTCACTGACAACATCCTGTGAGTGCCAGAGGATCGGCAAGAGACCAGGTCAAGGATGTGAAGAGCTATACAGTACTCAGAAGAGACAAGATGGGACAACGCAGCTAAAAGACCTGAAGGACTGGCGCCTGTAGTAATGCTACACAATGAGGTGGTGGCAGAAGGTATAGGCTACTGCCGTGGGTATTGTATCAGGCCCAAGAATGTGTTCATGCTGACGTACAGTGAATGCTTTAGAAAATATTGTCTGGCTGGAATGCTGCTTTTTGCACATTCCAAAAGGGTAGCTGATTTAGTCTATTGTGGAAGCAAAAACAAAACCACATGGGCCAGAATCTTGTTGAGAAAAATAAAACACGTGCGCAATGATAATCATGCAAGGTTTTTTGTTTCTCATTTTTTGCACTCCACAGCAGGGTGTTTGCCTCATGACCAGTTTTGCACCCACTGTATGACTGGTTGTGCAATGGCCATCTCAACAGAGAGTGCAAACTGCTTGAGCATTTATAATTGCCATTGTGTATGTGGCTTTTTCAACTGGTTTCTGGCCGTGGAGCCTTGCCAGGCTACAAGGTAGGTGGAAGATCATAAGCAGAGTGCAAAAGTGATATCTACCTTTCCCTGCTAGTTCCCAGACTCTCAGAGGTCTTCAGAGGCAGACTGCCTCTGTATAATGATGTTAAATGAGCAATAGACTTGCCACATTTGAGTGTACTAGCTGAAGCCTCAAAAAACTGATATTTCTTCTCTGGATGTAAAGACAAGGAAACAAGTCTCAGAGTGAATGCTGTTGGAGAGGAGATGGGGTGTGAGGTTGCATTAAACCACAGGCACCATTATCCACCCATTCCCAACTGGTGCTCGAACTTAGTATTTTAGAAAAAGGCGGCTGTGTATATTTTTCTTTGAGTGGTATGGTGGACACAGTTCTCCACAGTCTACCTGACACTTGGTGTTTAGGTGCACCACAGACAGACCCGCTGTATTATCTGGAGCAAGGCAGGGGAGTGGAGGATCAGCCCTTTGACCAATGAACTTTCTTGTTGCACAGTCTCTGGCGGGAGAAGCAGAAATCCCGGAAGAAAACTGCTAACTCCCAAGCTTCATCTCCTCATTTGTCACATTAGAAGGACCATCTTCTGGCTTTAGAGTTGGACTCTGAAATCTCAGCTAATGGGATGCTGTTGATCTGGAAACCTTACTAAGCAGCCCTGCACAATCAGGGATAGAGTATATCAAGCTGAACACTATTAAATAGACAAACATGTTGGCCACAAGGGGCTGGATAAACCTCTTGTTTAACTTCTTGCTATGTCTCTGTGCTAGCAAAAAGAGGAGGCTGTTAAACACTTTGCAGACCCAGACCGCAGCATGTGACTACAAGGGCTGTGTTTTGCATGGTGCTTGGAAATTAGCTCTCATGAGTAATAATCATGGATTCAGTGACCATGTTTACAAATTATGACAGGACATTGTATGCCTGGGGAATTCTGAGAATTGTAGTCTAAAACACAAACATGTACTCCTCTAGTATTAATAATGGATTGCTGTTGTAACCATGACTTGCTTCCCCAACTTCCCCCCCCCGAAAAAAATGACTAAAAAAAGGGATGGGGAGAAGCCAGAGCTTGGGATGTTTTTTCCATAGCTAATTAGATACCAATAATGTCACTTTTTTAAAAAAAGTAAAGCATTACTCGTTGCTATCTTAACTGTATTAGCAATACATTGCAATGCATTACTTTTTAATTTATGTTTCATTTTTATATCCCCCAACAGAAAAATGGAGAAAAATTTTAAAATATGGCCCACCCTCAGCATTTTGAAAGTAGTACATAAATCTTACACAATATGTCCCCAAGGAAAACAATGTTACCAATTGCTTTGTTATTTCATAAAAAGAAAAAAAAAGAAAGCCATTATATCCTCATTGTTCCAACAGTAGTAAGTTACAGATAGTATAATTACTCTTAATGTATTATTTCCAAGCTTTTTTTGGGGAGGGGGGAACAGAAATGAGGAAGACAAGCCATGATTTTGTTAGATTTTCTATCATTCAAGACAGAGTTAAGATAAGCCACTGTTACCGTTTCATGTGAACATGCCCTATGAATGTATTTAATCTTCTAAAAATAATAATGATATGAGCTGGAGGTCATCAACAAGCAAACCCCACCTATACATACAATGAAAGTATCCAATTAATTCAGTGTAACTAAAAGTACTGTATATAGACACCAAAGAAAAGGAATGCAGTTATCGGCTAATGAGGATTATAATTAACATATAGAAATCACTCTTACAAAATGTGGCAATAGCCAGTAGCTTAGATGGCTTCAAAAAAGGAAGCCAACAATTAATTAGTTGATTGGACATGGTTCGCCTTCAAAACTAAATTAAAATTACACATTTAACTATACTGGTAAATCCAGGATCATGGGACGAACAAGGAAAGGGTATCATTTTTATGCTCCAACCATGAATCTTGTAATCTAGCTCATTTCTGTTAGAATAGGATGCTTTTTAGATAGACCTTAATCTGATCTAGCAACACAATTGTTATTATCATTTTATGACCAAATGATGCAAGGCATAGATGTCATATGATCAGTAAAGCAAACTGGCACCTGTAAAAATCTGGCACAAGAGTATTATGATGCAGTTCCATCTCTTAATTGAGCTGAAGCAGAATGATTGCCAAATAAGTCAATTTCTCTGACCAAAGTGGGCTTTCAAAACTGAAATATCATATTTATTCAAAGATTATATGAATTGTTCCTAATGAGAAGAAATGTTTGTGCTCTTGTTTGAAGCCACTCCTAATTTGTTTGCGTGGACTAGGACTGAATGTTCCATCAAGCCAGGAATATTAACATTTTCTCTCAAACTAAATCATTTGGGTTAAAATGTATCTGTTTATCATTCCAGAACAACATGTGACTCAGTGAAAAACCCAAGGCAATAATTATCATTATCATCATTGCCATCTGATTAATTGACCTCAGATACATCTTGAATCATCAGTTCTGTATTTTCAGTCACAACTTCAAGGGACAGATTTTCAAAGGCCTCATAACAATAAGCATATCTGTCAAGATATGAAAATCCAAAAGATGTAAATGGTAAAGCAGCTGATTTGTGTTTCAGGACTGGAATGTTGACAACTCCATGCAAAGTCATGAGAAAAATGTTAAATTCCAGTATGGGTTGGTGGACGAAGGCTAAACCTTTTCTCTGACCAGCCAGCCATACTATTTTCCAAGTAAAGTTCCTCTTAACAGGTCCCTGGGACAGGAAGTAACGTCTACTGAGAGAAGCTGTGGTTTAAATCTCCACACACGTACATACAGCCAAACAACATGTTATGGGAGTTATGCATAGCCTGCACCGATAAATGTCACATGTTACTTCACATTCAATTTAGCTTGTGGTGGCCAAGCTTCATGCCCAGAGAGTTCAGCCCACACTCTCCATTTTGGATAATATAGGAGGATAAATGTAAGCCTGTGGTTCACAAATATGGCCTTGAAGCTCATACACAGCCCAATGCTTAGACTTGATTCTGCTTATTTGTTTGTCATGGTCTTGAAGGTGCACATACCAGGCCTCTTGTTTTGTCCTACAGTATGAGAAGCCACAAACTAGAACAGAAAGGCATGAAGAAATGCGGTAGCTTTCCCCCCTGCACAAGAAAGAAGATCTCTCTCCATACTCACCCTGCCTCATGTAATTATGGTGATATGAACAGCTCTTACAGAGGAATTCTATGGACGTATACATTCGTTGCACTGTATGGCCAGAGGAATTCTTCAGTGGTTATTTAGTCTAGGCAGAATTAATTAAACCCATATAATCCCTGCCAGATGTTTATCCACAGTCCCCTAAACTACCCCTGACAGGTTTTAA